GGGGTTTTTCCCCCTTTGGGGGGGGTGGGTTTTTCCCCCCCCCCCCACCTTTTTTTTTTTCGCCCCCCTTTTGGTTTCCCCAAAAAAAAAAAAACCCGGGGAAAAAAAAAAAACCACGTTACCCGGGTTGCGGATTCCACGAAGGAATTGGGTTTTTTTTAAAAGGTGGTTCCCAAGGGAGGAAAACCCATTCCGGTGGGCAACCCCGGAGGGGGGGGTTTTTTTTAAAAGGTGGTTCCCAGGGGAGGAAACCCCAACCCCGGTGGGCAACCCCGGGGGGGGGGGGGGGGGCATCAAGCCATAAGTGGGTACGTGAGCAGTGGCCTAAGGGGTGGCTGACTGTTATCCGCCTCGTGTGGTCACGTGTGCACCGAATCCCTCGTCGCGGGGCTGAAACACCACCGCCGTCATCACCATGCGAATGCAACCTCTATGTTACTTGCCTAACCCTACGTTTCGCGGGGCAAAACCCGCTCAACACTCGTGCGGTAACAGCAAAAGAAAAAAAAAATGCTCTCAGGGAAAATTAACGCCAACCGTGGGGCAATAAAAACCGAGCTTACCTTGGACTCGACACGGGCGATTGCGACGGTCGGCATGTCGCTGAGGTTCGATATCTCCAAGCTCTGGCTCTTGTACTCGCCTTTTTTCGTTGGAGGGGGGGGGGGGGGGGGTACCCCTTTGTTGCTTGCCCTAATCCTTTGACCATTGGCCCCCCGTCCCTTTTGAAAAGGAACCCCCTTCCTACCCCTACTAAAAACCCCCCCAACATTTGGGAGCCCTTTTCTTTTCTGCCCCAAACCCCAAAAAAAATTTTTGCCCTTGCCCATGGGGGGGGGGGGGGGGGGGGTCCCAAATCGGGGGGGGCCCAATTCTTTGGACCTTGACCCCCCCCCCCCCAAAAAGCGGGGGGGGGGACCCCGGGGTTTCCCCGGGGCCGGGGTCCCCAATCCCAAAGGCGAAACCCCCGGGGGGTTTTTGGGGAGCCCCAAAAGGGGGGGCCCCCCCCCGCGAAGGGGGGTCCCGCTTC